GGTGATTTAGTAGCCCAGAATGGGTCGTTCCCAAATTAGAATAGATCGTTCCAAACTACTAAAATAAGGGTGATTTAGTAGCCCAGAACGGGTTGTTCCTAAATTGGAACGAACCGTTCTAAACTACTAAAAAGGCCTATAAACCCTAGTTGGGAATAGGCCGCTCTAAAGTTGGGAACGATTCGTTCCAAATATGGTCGTTATGAGTTAAACTCAACTCCAAAATGAGTCGTTCTGGTTTTAGAACGGGCCATTCCAGATGCGAATTTAACACCTGATGAAAGGATCCAGAACGGGTCGTTCTAGATTCGAAACGGGCCGTTCTGACCACTTTTGACATCTATAAATAGCAGACTCTAGCACTACTTTTGGACACACTCTCTGAAGATCAAAGAGAACCAAAAGAAGGAGATTAACCAGATTTTACTCTAACTTTGTCTTTTGCTTATCCAGGTTAGGGGGAGTGAGAAATGTCGCTCGGGGGTGTAGAAATAATTGTTGGGTAGCAGGATTAACCCCCAATCCCTTGCCTGAGGTATGCCTATAGGAACAGGCACCTTATGAAAGTTTTCTATTTTGCTTTCTGATTGTTATGTTGTGTTCCTTGTTGGATGTGATGTATAAATATGTGATTAATTTTGAAAATAAATAAGTTTTGATATGAATTAAAGTGTTGTGTGGGTTCTTATGGGAAACCCTATGAAGTAAAATTAGGGATATGATCTTTGGATGAATTTTGAGGCATTATATGTAAAATTGATGATGGATTCATGTTTTGGATAATTTCTAGGTATGTGTTATTTTATATATGACTATGAGAAGTTCCTTGTATGAGACTATGTGAATATGACGAGAAAATGTGAAAAGTGAACATATGATCTGTGATATGATATTATGAGATAAAATGACATGAGACATGATGTAAACGACGTGCTATTGTGAGCACTATGACTATGAAAATGTGAAATGTGATTAAATGAGATAAGACATGAAATTCCATGACAAGTAAAGTGATGAGTCCATGAGTTTGTGAATGTGTGATATGCATCATATGCATTTATGTGACGTGGTACGATATGGAGTACACCGTTGGGGAAGGCCCTCCGAGTGTGAAAACATCTTGGAGGAGTCCTAGGGGATAGTGCGGTTTGGAAGGCCCAGATTTGCCTATTTGTGTGCATGGGATGTATCTTGCACGACCTCACTAACCCAACAAGACCCTAGCAGTACGTCCTTCTAGTTGAGAGTGCACGGTTGAGTCGGCATGCATTCCTAGACTACTCTACATGCATCGCTAGCGACAAAGCACCATGTGATATGTGACTGACGCCACATGCATGCATCTATGAGTCGAGTCCATGACATCATTGTATGATGAATGACTATGTATGTGTTACTATTGTATGTACCATTTGAATTTGCACCTGATTAATGTGTAGTTATGAGTGTGCTTGTTATGATTTGTGTGTGTGTTATACCTAACTATTATTTTTACACCTAAAATCGAGTGAGATGTTTCTCACTCCCTTGTTGTTCTTTGTATGTGTTTAAATTGCGTTGCAGGTGTTCATCAACATGAGGATGTTGGTGGTGAGGCTTAGGCTTCAGTTGGGCATGCTTTGATAGGATATGAGACATTGGGGCATAGCTAGGCTTAATTTAGGATGCTATTTCCATTAAATTATTTGAAAACTCAGTTTTATTTCTTTGTAATTTTACTGACATGTTATTTGGATTAAGTTTATGAATGTGAACTCTTTACCCTTATGTGGTTGGAGATTTGGTTTTTAATGATGAGGAATTTTATTTTTATAATTATTGTATATGTATGTTGGGATAGAGGGTGTCACACGACAAATTGATCTTGGATTGGGGAAAAAATCTTGCCAAGAATTTTGTCTCCACTTTAGACCAATTACTCAAGCCTTGATGTGGAAAAGCACTAAGCCACATCTTAGCTTCCCAATGAGTAAGAAGAGGCACAAATTCATTTGGATTACTTTTTCAAGAACTTGATGTATCTTAATAGTGCCATATAGCTCAATGAATAAGTGAAGATGCATGTGTGGATCTTCATGGTCAATCCTGATAAACTAGTTGTTTTGGATTAGATTCAACAACACCAGCTTCATCTGAAAATTAGTTGTTGTGACCTTAAGTGCAACAATGTTAGAGAAGTGTTTGGGGCCATGATGAGCATCATAGTCCCTAAGAATGATTCTTAGTGTCTCTTTTGCCATTTCTACCTCCTTTAAGATTGAGGACAAAGACCATAGTCAAAATAATACTATTTTTTGTGTATTATTTTGACTAAGTGTTAGAATATTATCTTCCAATTAATCTCACTATGACAAGAATATGATAAAAATTTGATTATTCAAAGAATCAAGATCATAGATGTCACCAATGATAGAGATCGAAGAAAACAATTATCAATAGACAATTTTTGTTGGAAGTTATTGGTAGTTATGGGTAGTTACAAATTGTACTCTATAAATACTAATTTCCACCATGTAATAAGGGTTAAAACTTGTAAACACCCTACATATCTTAAGTCTCAGCAATGCTCACTACAAGAATATTGTCATATAGTGATACATACCTTATAGTGATACTATACATGTCATTAAAAACTACTTTTACTCACACAAAAATTATAATATATGTTGGTATATTATTAAAAAGTGTGGGTATAGGCTATAGTGACGTACAAAATATGTTGTTAAATATCATTCAAAATCAACACTAAAATTCTGTTTAACTATATTTCAAATAGACATATACCTACATATATTGTACCTATAGTGACACTTTTTGTATGTCACTATATGTAACATTTCTTGTAGTGGCTTATGGATCAACAGTTTATTACAATGTTACTAACCATCATTTCCTTTTTTAATAATTTATATTTGTTTTCAATTTCTTTCTCCTTACTTGTTCTTCTCCAAACTTAACTTTTCACTTTCGAATCTCCATTTCTTCTCCAAACTTAATCTCAACTTCTTCTCCAAACTCTTACTATTTTACATTTATGCAAAATTTCTCTCTTTTTATTTCTTTTTCTCAAGTTGAAAACTAATAGTTATTAGTTCAAATAAAAGGAATCCACACAATTTTAAAAGATTTTGAGTCCTACTAAAATAAATTATTTATATTTGATTCTCGAAATCAAATTTCACCAAAAATAATACCCAAGGTCATTATTCAAATCTTCAACGACAACTAATTGTTGTATATAAAACCTTTTATATATTAAAAATGTAATTTGAAATTTACCTTGTATTTGGTGGGAGAGAAGAAGCGTGTAAGAAAGACGAAATGTGAAGAAATTATAATTGCAATGTGTTTTTTAAATGTGAATTATCGTGGGATTGTGAGAAAAATATCATGTAATTTCACCTAAAATGACTTCTTTGTAAAAAAAAAAAATACAAAGAAGTATCGTAGCAACATTTATCAATTATTTTAATAAAATCAATTATGTTATGTTAAATTAATAAATTATCTACACATATTATAAAGGAGATATAAGGTTATGTAACCATTTTTGTTTTCTATTTTGAAATGGACCATTATATCGCTCAAATGTTAAAAAAATAATTTTTCACATTCTTTTTGAATAATCACTCACAACCATCTAATATCTTATTTATATAATTGTTAGAGGTATGAAATATCTTAACTCTTTTAATATATATATATAGAGAGAGAGAGAGAGTGACTCAAATAAAAACACTTATTAATATAAAAATAACTAATAACAATCATTAAATTAAAATAAATAATTAAAATTAAAAAATTATATATAAAATTACTACAAACCGTGACCATATCTTATACGTAGTTTCATATAAAAACAGTTAAAAGTTTATATATTTAAAATTATGTTTCTATCAATTTTTTTATAATTATGTTACGTAATCGATTATATATATACTACTTGTATTGCTCCATGAGGCTTAACTTGCTTAACTCTGAATGGCCCTGACCACTTTGACTTCAGCTTCCCTGGAAAGAGTTTAAACCGGGAGTTGTAAAGGAGCATAAGTTGTCCCAGTTGAAATTCTCATTTTAAGATCTTTCGTTCATGATACAACTTCACCCTTTCCTTGTAATGCTTAGCTAACTCATAAGCATTGAGCCACACTTTAGCTTTCCCAAACAGTGAGAATGGAAGCAGCTTCAAGCGGATTACATCATTTGGAATTGATTTTTTTAGCTTCTTTGTAGCCTCACACACTACCTCATCCAGCACATCCATTCGGAAACAAGTACCCTTATCATTCGGAAGGGTCATGGCTTCAAATACATTGAAAATGATCACCTCATCTTGGACCCTCAATTTTAATTCACCATCCCCAACATCAATGATTGCTCGTGCAGTCTTCATAAATGGCCTCCCCAAGATAATAGGAATAGTAGAGTCCTCTTCCATGTCCAAAATCACAAAATCAGCTGGAAATGTGAATTTGTCAACTTTGAATAGCATGTTTTCAATGACACCAAAGGAATACTTGATGGACTGGTCTGCTAGCTGCAAAGTCATGCGGTTAATGCTTGCACCCAAGTCTAGCAGTGCTCTTCCAACAGATAGGTCCCCAATAGTGATTGGAATTGTAAAGCTTCCAGGGTCCTTGAACTTGGGAGGTAAGTTCTTTTGAATTATGGCACTACATCCCGCTTCCAACTCAATAATCTCTTTCTCAATGAACTTTCTCTTCTTTATCAACAGGTCTTTCATGAATTTTGCATAAGTGGGCATCTGCTCCAATGCCTCTGAGAATGGAATGTTGATCTGAAGCTTCTTAAAAAGCTCCATGAAACGTGCAAATTACTTTTCTTTATCCTTTTTGCTTGGGGCTGGGGGATATGGCATATCCTTGGTACTAGACATCTTGGGTTTCATCTTCAATTCTCTTGCTAGCTGGCTCTTTGATTTTTTAACAGCAACTTCCTCAGCCAACTCTTCTCCCTCTATGACATTCTCTTTTGCATTTTCAATTTTTTTTTTTATTTTTTTCATTATTTTCTCCACCTCCCTCTCTCATTTCTACCTCTTTTTCCTGCTGCTCTTCCTCATCCTCCAACACACCTACTCTCTTGTCACCTCTTGTTGTAATTGCACTACAATTCTCCTTTGGATTAGTATGAGTATTGGCTGAAAAATTTCCACCAGAATTTTCAGCCAATTGTTTGGCCAGCTGCCCCACTTGAATCTCCAAATTCTTTATAGATGCTTCAGTACTCTTGTGGTTAGAGATTGAGACCTGCATGAACTGATTCAATGTTTCTTCTAATTTAGACTGCCTGTCATACAAGTTGGGCCTTTGCATAGGAGGTCCACTAGACTGAGCAATATCACTCTGGTTCCACCCTGTGCTCGGGTGTGATTGCCAGTTCTTCCCATAATTACCACCATAATTTCCTCCTTGTCGAGCTTGATTTCCCATGTAATTCACCTCTTCTCCATGAGATGGTAAAGTATCAATGCACTTTCTGTGAGGATGATTCAACCTACAAAGATCACAACTCAGAACTTGATGTTGAGTGGATTGTAGTTGTGGAATCCGAGCAACTTGCTTGGTAAGAGCCTCAATTTGCTGGGACAAGAGCTTATTTTGAGCTAATAAAGCATCTTGAGATCCCAACTCTAGAATTCCTCTTTTCTGTCTTGACTCCCTTTCAGCTGGTAAATCATAGTCATTTGCTGCCATAGCATCAATCAACTCTATAGCCTCCTCCGGTGTTTTAAAACGCATACTACCTCCAGCTGAGGCATCCAATAGAATTTTCACCCGTGGCTGCAATCCACCCAGAAAAATATTAACCTGAGTAAGGTCATCAAATCCATGACTTGGACATCTCCTCAACAAGGATTTGTATCTTTCCCAAGCCTCAAAAAGAAGTTCATCTTGCTTCTGAGAGAATGTGACAATCTCACTCTTTGCTTGATTTATCTTAGCAAGAGGGAAGAATCTTGCCACGAACTTTGTCTCTATGTCAGACCACCTGGTTAAGCTTTGATGTGGTAGAGCATTGAGCCACGTCTTAGCTTTCCCAAGTAGTGAGAAAGGAAACATCTTCATCCAAATCACATCTTCAAGAACTTGATGTATCTTCACTGTGCCACAAAGCTCAATAAAAGTCTGGAGATGCAGATATGGGTCCTCATGATCAAGGCTCATAAATTGGTTGTTCTGAATCAGATTCAACAGTGCTGGCTTTTGCCAAACCATGGAAGCTCCTAACTTCACTAACATTAGTAGGAATAGGCCATTCTTGGATGACTTTGATTTTCTCGGGGTCCACATGAACCCCATTTTTGCTTACCACAAACCCTAAGAAAATAACATTATCCACACAAAAAGTGCACTTGTCTACATTGGCAAACAAGTGATTGTCTCTAAGGACAAGAAAAACTTGCCTTAGATGATCCATAATTCTCTGTTATTAATCTAGTAGGCTAGAGTTTAATTCAGCAGTTTAGAGATTATTAGGGTATTTGTATAAAGAGGGAAATAAACAAATAAGAATATGACTTATTTGCTTGCATGCTTGCTTTGTTCTAGACTTCTAGTTTTAGTTGCATGTGAGTCTGTCTGCAAGAGATTTGTGTATCTGATGAAAAAGCAGACGTCAAATTGAATTGACATTGTGTATTGCGTGTTTATTCTGCTTCCTTTAATATTGCATCTTATCTCTAAATTTATCAAGTAATAGTACGCTATCTTTTGATTTATGTTAATGTACAGAAAGCAAACCAAGGTTGGTATCGTCGGTGAGAATAAAATCTCACAAAGATACTAGTTTAAATTCCTGTATTGATATGATGATTTTGTTTTATTACAGGTACCACATCGAAACCCTTGCGATTGAATCGTGTCAAGCGTCTTGCTCGATCGTTAAGTTTTCCTTCGGAAAACACAAGTTCAGAATAACCACAATGGTACAGGGGAAGGTACTAATTCTTTGTTGTTACTAGAATCGTTTTCACTATTTTATTATCTAAAATGCTATTCAATTTAGGTATTGTAGAACATAATAGGACACACTAGAATATAATCAGCACAAAATAGTATTCAAACAGGATTAACATCCTTTGCAGTTTTTTTTTTTCAAACTGCATACAATTTTTTCTTATTGATTTTAAGAACTTAAAATGCTATTATTTTATTAGACAATATCCGTGTGTTAAAATTTTAACAACTCAAACAGGAACTAACATTATCAATTAGTTGCGTATTTGCCTAATTCTCAACCTTTTCTTGTTTATTATGTTTAATCATTCTATGTGATACTCTCATGTCTATCACATTAAGATTCCCACTGCTCACTATGAGTTTGGCTCAACCTTCATTGATCATCCTAGGGTAACTTTTGCCTTTCGTTGAAAATGGCACTTCTGTTAGTGTTTTATATTTTGCACTAAATTAAATTATATTAATACTTAATTGAAGTTTAATATTTTTTGCATATTTTATTAATAAGGATAACATTAAACAATTTGTATTTTATAGGATGAAGGGAGTGGACACGACATGCCAACACCACAAGGAAGATCTTCATTAGATAGTAATGTTCATGGAATTTGACATTATTATTATTTTTTTTAGACATGATGAACTCATGAATTTGAACCTATGTTTTTACATATTTTACTTTTGAGCATTGATCATGAATTTGATTTTGAGTTACTTAATATGTTGGATATGTTTTAGAATTGATGGATGTTAATGTCTTAATAATTAAAAATATGTCATGCTAGACCTATGGCTAGATGTTGTCTTGATTTTTTTTTTATAATGTTAAAAGTTGTTAATTTAATGTATCTTTATATAATTATATTTGAACAAGAAACATACAAAATACAAATATTATTATAATTATAGGTATAATTTATTAAAATAAGTGATCATAGAATTTGACAAGTAAAATTTTTATTTGTAAGTTACTTGAATTAAATAACAATATAATATAGTCATTATTAATTTTTAATGATTAATATGGTTAGTGATAATTTTAAATAATAATTTGATAAATACCTAAAATATATAGAATATTATTTGTTAATTTATAATAAAAATTCATTTTTAAAATAATTTCAAATATATTTTAAAAATAAAGTAAAATAAAGTGTATTTTTGATGGTTTAAAATTGTCAAAAAAATGCGAAAAAAATAATAAATATATTTGTTGGCAATCTATAACCACAAAAAAAATGTAAATAGTAAAAATAATAATAATTTTTTGGAGGTTTTAAAATCGTCAGAAATTTTGAAGTTGGTAGAATTAAAATGAATTTTGTGGCGGTTTAAAACCGCCAGAAAATGACGAATAAGTCAAACAGAAATACAATTTTGTGGCGGTTTTAGACCGCCAGAAAATGTTAAACAAGTCAAACCCAAACGCATTTTTTGGCGGTTTTGAACCGCCAGAAAGAGATTGAATTTTCTGGCGCTAAACACCAGCGTTTACAAAATCTCCGCCAGAAACGAATTTTGGGGACCGTAGATCCGGCGGTTATTAATGACGCCGGTAATGCAATTTGTGGCGGTTGTTAACCGCCAGAAACTGTCAAAATAACCGCCACAAATCACACATTTTTTTGTAGTGTATTAATATTTTAGTATTTGTATAACATAAGTTAATTAATGTTTATTATATTATTATAATTTATATAATAAATTATTATATATATATATATATATTATTTAGATGTATAAATTAATTATAATTAAAATTTGTATAAAGTATTTTCAAATATGAATTATATTTTAAATTTATAATAAATAACTTATATTATATTATAAGATTATTATTAATTATTGATTAACTATTTTAAAAATATTTTATTTAAAAATATATATTATAAAGATAAATTAAAATAAATAAGATGTTAAAAATCTCCTAAAATCCATTTCATTAAAAAGAAATACCTAAAAATATCATAAGAAAAATTTCTAAAAATACTTGCCATATATGTATTCTCGTTTATTATATATGGAGTGATAATATTTGTTTTTTCTTCTACTAAGTAACCTTTATTTTCACTCTATATATTTATTAATTACTTCCTTTCTTTTTTTCTTTATTTTTGATTTTTGATTTTTCTCCTATTTTCTTACTTTATATCATAGACACATATTTTATTATTATTTTTATCTATCAAAATTAAAAAAGTAAAAAAAAAAAGTTATCATAGTTCAAATTTAAAATTATATGTATATACTATTATAATTTCTCATCACTAACCGACATAGTGCTTGACAGATTTTAATGTTTAACTTATATATATACTACGATGACCAGACTTTCAAAGTCTTTTATTTTGTTTTGTTCCTACAAAGTGGTATAAGGGCCATCCCACTTTATAACAATTTCCACATTTATTGTTTTAACTTACGCCATGACTTTGTTATTTTCCAAGTCTTTCCTTTTGTTCCACCGAAAGGGCCAACTAAAATCAATGAAAAGAATGTGATTGAGAGAGACACTAATCAATTTTTTTTAATAAAAATTAGTTATAAGTAAAGTTAATGAATGTTTCATATTACTTTATGAAAAAGAAACATTTATCTTTTTTCTAAAGCCAATAAACTAATTCAAACAAAATCCCTCACATATATGAATTTTAAGTTTTTAACAGAATAAAATAAAAGTAAAAATATTTAAATAAATTAGTGCAAGTTAGCATTTCAGATTTGAAGGAGGACAACGACATGGAAGAAATGATGGGAAATGACGTAAGCAAAATGAGAATGATACTTATTTCATATTTGAGAGGGATTTAATCCATTATGCGGATTCATCGAAACAAAAGCTACTGTTTTTTTTTATATTTCGTTATTATATTACAAAACTAAACTTCAAAAAACAAAAATTAAATGAGTAAATAATCATTTTGATATATAAATTTAGAAGACTTTGTCATATTAATTACTAACTGAAACTTCAAGAAAAATATCATGCAAACTCATCAAAGTTCAAATTGAGAGTTTCATTAACTCAAAGTTTTAAAATACAGATGATTAAAGTAATAATATTGAAATATGTTTAGCGATCAAAATAATAATGAGTAATAAAGACTTATCTGACATTTTTTAGTTTTAGAAATTAATATAATATAATAATATTCACCACTTTTAGGGACCAAAATTGATTCTTTGCTTAAAATTAAATATATGATAAGTCTTATGTTTTTTCTAATTTAAATATCAGTTTATGAGTATATGTTAATTGTGCATGACTGTCATTTGTTTAATATTAAATATATTCTTATGGAAATTGTTTAAATATAAAAGTTAATAAATAAAAATTAAAATAATAAAAATTGTTAAGAATTTCATTTATATTAATAAAACTAAAAGCAAAAGTAAACATAGATATAAAATTTAAAATGATAAACAAGTGAACAAGAAACAATAAAATTAAGTTTAGCTATGGAAAAGATAAATTAATTTATGTTCGTCATAAATAATTTATTATTTATGTAGTTAGAGAGCTTTCGAAGTGGTTGGCTCATATGTTATATATATGGGTATTGGCAGTGGTAATATTAAAGAGAGAACAAGTATCAATGAATGAGTTAGTGGTTGTGATGATAATGAGTATAATAAGGATGCGTTTGAAATTGAAAATGTTGATGATGATGGTGTGTTTGGTGTGGGTGGAGGTTGTTGTTTGTGGTGATGAACATGAAATTCAATGCATTCAAAGGGAGAGGGAAGCTCTTCTCCAATTCAAGGCTGCCCTTTTTGATGACTATGGCATGCTCTCCTCTTGGACCACTCCTCACTGCTGCCAATGGAAGGGCATCCGCTGCAGCAACCTCACTCGCCATGTCCTCATGCTCGACCTTCATGGTGAGATTCATGATGATGAATATGCTTACAATTCATATGAAATCTCCCGCTCTCTCAACTCGGGAAGTTATCTCAGCGGAGAGATCCACAAGTCGTTGATGGAGTTGCAACAATTATACTATTTCAACCTCACTTCCAACTCTTTTTACAACACACATATTCCAGAGTTTCTTGGCTCTCTCACCAACTTGATATCCCTTGATCTGTCATTCTGTGGTTTTGAAGGAAAAATTCCAACTCACTTTGGCTCTCTTTCTCATTTGAAATACTTGAATCTTGCTGGGAATTTTCATCTGGAGGCTTCAATAATCCCTCCTCAACTTGGAAATCTCTCCCAGTTGCAACATCTTGATCTCAGGTACAATTCTTTTGAAGGAAAGATACCATCCCAACTCGGAAATCTCTCCAAGTTGCAGTATCTTGATCTCAGCTACAATTCTTTTGAAGGAAATATACCATCTCAGCTTGGGAACCTTTCAAACTTACAAGAGCTTTATCTTGGAGGAAATATATATGGTGGTGATGTTGCTCTCAAAATTTATGATGGAGGTCAGTGTTTGTCTAATCTCATTTCTCTAACCCATCTTTACTTGTCATCCATACCTATTCTTAACACTTCTCACAGCTACCTGCAAATGATTGCCAAGCTACCAAAACTAAGACAACTAAGTTTAAGTGATTGTAGCCTTTCCGATCATTTTATCCTTTCATTGAGGCCTTCTACATTCAATTTTTCTACTTCCCTTTCCCTCCTTGATCTATCCTCGAACACCTTCACGTCACCAATGATATTCCAGTGGGTGTCAAACACCACTTCCAACCTTGTTGAGCTTGATCTTAGTTATAACCTCTTGGAGGTTTCCACATCCAATCATTTTGACATGGTCAAGATGAATTCCCTTGAGCACCTTGACCTCTCTTATAATAGATTGAAGGCTGGGATTTTGAAATCCTTCATGAATATATGCACCTTACATTCTTTATACATGAGTAAGAACAATTTGACTGAAGACCTTCCATCAATTCTTCATAATTTGTCTGGTGGCTGTGTTAGACACTCATTACAAGAATTGTATTTCAGATACAATCAAATCATAGGTTCCTTACCTGACTTTTCAGTATTCTCATCTTTAAAAATATTGGATCTTTCTAACAATCAATTGAGTGGGAAGATACCCGAAGGAAGTAAATTGCCATCTCAAATGGAGTCTTTGTCCATTAGCTCAAACTCTTTAGAAGGTGGAGTTCCAAAATCATTTGGGAGAGCATGTACTTTGAGCTCACTAGATATTTCTTATAATAATTTAAGTGAAGAGCTACTAGTGATATTTGATCACTTGTCCGGGTGTTCCAAATACTCATTGCAAGAATTAAACTTGGAAGGAAATAAAATCAATGGTACGTTGCTTGACCTTTCAATATTCTCATCTTTAAAAGTATTGATTCTTTCTGACAATCAATTAAGTGGAAAAATTCCTGAAAACAACATATTGCCATCTCAATTGAAGCTTTTGTCAATTAGCTCAAACTCTTTAGAAGGTGGAGTTCCAAAATCATTTGGCAATTCATGTGCTTTGCACTCATTAGACATGTCTAACAATAGCTTGGTTGAAGAGTTTACCAAGATAATCCATCACTTATCTGGATGTGCTAGATATTCATTGGAATATTTATATCTAGGAATGAATCAAATTAATGGGACACTACCTGACCTCTCAATATTCTCATCTTTAAAAGGATTATATCTTGATGGAAACAAACTAAATGGAGACATTCCTAAAGATATTCGATTTCCACCTCAACTAGAGAGTCTAGATATGCAATCAAATTCCTTAAAAGGTGTGCTCACTGACTATCATTTCATTAATTTGTCTAAGTTATACTTCTTGGACTTATCTGAGAACTCATTATTGGCCTTGACATTCACACAAAATTGGGTTCCACCATTTCACTTGAGCTATATAAGATTGCAATCTTGCATGCTAGGTCCAACATTTCCCAAATGGTTGAAAACACAAAATCATTTCAATGATCTTGACATTTCAAATGCTGGAATATCATATTTGGTTCCAAAGTGGTTTTGGGCTAAATTAACATTGCAGGAATGGATTTCAATGAATATTTCGTACAACAATCTCTCTGGTATAATTCCAAATTTTCCACAGAAGAATCCTCATTTTTCCCTAATTCTTGGATCAAATCAATTTGAAGGCCCAATACCACCATTTCTACGATATTCTATGTTTCTTGATTTATCCAAAAACAAATTCTCAAATTCTTTTTCATTTTTATGTGCCAATGGTACAATTGAAACCTTATACCAATTAGACCTTTCAAATAATCAATTATCTGGACATATTCCGAATTGTTGGAGCCATTTCAAGTCATTATCTTATTTAGATCTAAGTCACAATGATTTTTCAGGAAAGATTCCTACTTCCATGGGATCTCTTTTTGATCTTCAAGCATTACTATTGAGAAACAACAACTTAACAAATGAGATCCCTTTCTCTCTGAGGAATTGCACAAAGCTAGTAATGCTTGATATGGCAAAAAACAAGTTATCAAGCCGTATCCCTGCTTGGATTGGGAGCAAATTACAAGAGTTGCAAATTTTAAGTTTGGGGATGAATCATTTCTATGGAAGTTTACCATTAGAAATTTGTTATCTAAGAAGCATTCAATTGTTGGATCTCTCGCTAAACAACTTATCTGGGAAAATTCCTACATGCATAAAAAATTTTACTTCAATGGCTCAAAATACATTTTCAAGTGATTATGAAGGTCATTGGTATTTTGTCAACACCAGCAATATCAAAGGCAATAGATCATACGATCTAAATGCATTCTTGATGTGGAAAGGTTCAGAACAAATGTTCAAAACTACTGAGTTATTACTTTTAAAAAGTATTGATCTCTCAAGCAATCACTTTTCAGAAGAAATTCCTATTGAAATAGAGAATTTATTTGGATTAATTTCATTGAATTTATCAAGAAACAACTTGACAGGAAAAATTCCTTCAAATATTGGCAAGCTATCATCACTTGAATTTCTTGATTTGTCAAGAAACCAATTTGTTGATTCAATTCCTCAGAGTCTTACTCAAATTGATCGACTCGCCATGTTAGATTTGTCACACAACCATCTAACTGGAGAAATTCCAACTGGCACACAACTACAAAGTTTCCCTGCCTCGAGTTTTGAAGATAATCTTGATCTTTGTGGGCCACCACTGGAGAAATCGTGTATTGATCATGGGGAGCACGTAAAAGGGCCAAAAGTTGAAATTGATGAGAATGAAAATTCACTTTTAAGTCATGAATTTTACATAAGTATGACATTTGGATTTGTTATAAGCTTTTGGATGGTGTTGGGCTCAATATTATTCAAGCGTTCTTGGTCACATGCCTATTTTAAATTCTCTCATGTACGGAGGTGACTATAGCTTAACAGGTAATAAATTGTAGTCTTTCCATACATAATTACTTTTACTTTTCACATAATAAATAATTATCATAAATTTTAAATTAAAAGAGTTTAATTGGTACAAACAGTTAATGGAAAAGAGCTTTACATATTACATTATATAATACTTTCATACATCATTATTTAAGACCATATTACTCTTTTGCATCTTCTTGTCCTACTTTTAGCCTTTACAAATTATTTTTTAATTTTTAAAACTAAAACAAAAATACAAAACAAACATACTCCATTTCGTTATATTCGTAAGTTTCTTTTTTCTCCTGGTAACTTGCTTTTTCTTTATCCTCACTGATTTACTCAACCTTTTTGTTTTCCATTAATATTTCAATAATAAAATTTGTTTTTAAGCTCTTTGATATTTGAATGTTAAAGTGGACAGGTCATTCAAGTATCTATTAAAAATCATTAAAAAAAATAATAAATAATATAAAAAATACTCATTTTTTGTGTGATGAATGTTTAGAAGATCAATTCATGTGAAAGCCTAAGGTTATAAACATTATGATTTTATGTACGCCAATGATTTTCAATTTGTTGTTATCATGTGAAATGAGGCTTTCAATATTTTTTTTTTCGAATGTAAAGTTAATTTATTTAACCATTGTTTTTTTTTATGATATTCCATTTGTGATCATAGCAAATTTTAATTGAACTTTTTTAAATATATTATTTAATAAGGATATTTACATATATTTTAAATATTATTGTATACATTAAAATAAAGTGATATAATAAAATATCAAATAATTTTAAATTTGTATGCAATTTTGTATATAAAATTATTTAGATTAATAACAACGTTAAATACAACATTTAGATTGATTTAATTTGTATTATATATGAAATCATTGAAGATGTCATTTCACACATTTGATATCATGATGTTAACTGATTCTATAATATATAGGTAAAATTCACCTATTTCAAGAGTAAGATTTTGAAAACTATTACTTACTTTACTCAATAACTCATATATTTTACATAATATTTCAATGATCTAATTATTAAATTAAAAAATTTTAATGTATAGATCAAATTTTTAAATTTTAAAAGAAAATTAAAAATCTTATAATATATAATTTTAAATCAATATATAAAATATTTTTATAATTATCCATCAATTTAAATTAATGAAATAAAGTATCATATTATTTTCAATTTTTTAAAAAATTTGAAGATTTGATCTATGTATTTAAAAATTTTAATTTAATGTTTGGATCAATAAAATTTTATGTATAACATTATTGAGTAATGTATGGTTGGTTAAATAAAATAGTTGATTTGAGAGATGATGCGAATATATTTACGATGTTAGAACATTTATACTCAAGATTTTGCAATAGAAAGGTTAATATATGCTTTTGTGACGTATTTTGCAAATGTAATGAGTTATATTGCACAACAATTGTAAGCGTAGTATGCTAATTAACTAAGAATTGCGATTTTGCCTATTTATAATCGTTGGATGTATTAGTGTTTATATACATAGCATTAAAATTATTAATGCTCGATACTTGATAGCCTTATAAAACTCTAAAGATTATCACTGTTATGCTATGCAAGTTTTTCATATGAGCTAACATATATACTCCATATGTTATTCTTATTACTTCAAATTCTTGACAAATACTAATGTTAATTTTCTTTGTATAGATAAAAAACATTATTCATTTAATTGATTATTTATTTATCTGAGAGAACGTTAATAAATTTTGGTTTCATTTTGACATCTGGGAAGCTCACATTTCATTTGTTAATTTTCAGCATCTTGAAGACCCATCCTTTTGCAAATCATTTGAGCAAAACAAGTTATCTACAGAAAATAAGCTGGAATTTATGGTTGTTTTATATTGTTCACCGGCAACAGGGACATATCCTTATATGGGTTTTATATTTATGATTTCATTGTTTGAAGCGTTTGTACTTGTATAACTTTGGTTATAGTTATTTCATATTATCAGTGTTGTGCTTGTGATGAAGTATAAATTACCATATATTATATTAATAATTTACTTGTACGATTATATTGTCCAGGCAATAAAAATATTAAATTATCTATTTATAATATATTAAGTCTAAAGTGCTTATTATAACATAATCGTCTCAAATTTTTAGGAATTCCAAATTTATTCACACTATCAACTTTTTATATCAAGTGGCATACTTCTCTCATTCACAATTTGTACATTTTTTTATTGCATAGGTTAATAATAGACTTTAATTTAATTTCTGTATTAATATATTTTTATTAATATTGAAAAGACTAATTTGAAGAATTTTCTTAAAATGATAAATTATGTGGCATAATTTTAATATTTTAAAGACTACTTATATATTTCTAATATTGACTTAAAAAAAATTCATAAAATGAGCAAATTATTTTGGTGATGTAAGTTTTTTCTTGTTTTCCATTCTTTTATAAATTTGTAAATATTGTTTTAGTTCTTGTAAAATAAATAAATTTTAATATTAATTCTTATAATTTTTTTATTTTTATCTTTCTAAAATTAAAAATCACTATTTTTATCCTTAATTTATTTTATAGGCCTATAAACTTTTGTTAGAAATATCACAAACTAACATAATAAGATAACATTACTAACAATTATTGGTAACACTTGAAATAATTATTTAATCTTTTAATGAATAAATAAGTAACTAAAAATAATTGCATAATAATAAAAATTAAAAATAATAATTCCAAATTTTAAAAAAATAAAATACTAAAAAAATAATTACAAGGACCAAACTAACTTGTTCATTTTGTCAAAACTTTTATTTTAGTAAAGATAAGAAATATTAAAAAAAATAATCACAAAATTCGAACACATAAATCCTCATGCTTCAACTACCCCACCCCTCCCCCAAAGATTAATGTTTAGTACCATTAATGTAATGACATATTAAATAGATAATGTAATGTAATGGCAGGTATACCATTAAGAACCTAGGAACCTGAATTGATATATTAAATATATAAATATTTGGGACGGGGAAATTTTAATAGAACAAAGGGAAATGCCGTGATATCAGATTGAAACAAAGTAAACACAGGTCAAATGTGAATATAATACAGTTTCAACCCATTTAGGGAATGAAATACTCCAACAGACTAGCTGGAACAGTACATTTGCCATATTATATTTAGATGCATTAGGGAGTCATGTAATCCAGATAAATAAATAAATTAAAGACTATTAATAATGGATATGTTTTATGCATTATATATACTTGTAAAGTGAAAAAAGAGTTCTTGTTATTTCATATTGTTCAAGTTATTGAGGAGCCAAAGTTTTCCCCAACAAAAACTGATGAGTCTGAAACCACTTCATGCGAACAGTTTAATGCAAAGGAATGATAAATATATTCAGAGTGAAAAACCAAAGCTCTAATCTGACTGCAAATCATGCCTTTGATGGTGATTCACTAGAGTTGACAGCAGGAGTATCTTTTCCCGATTGAGATGCAAGTGCCTCTAGTGTGTTGTGAAATTCTTTAGGGAGAGGAGGAGGTCGGTGGAGAGGAACATGCTTGGGAACTGGTGCATCGTTCTCAATCACCTCACATTCGTAATCATCTGGAACACCCCAAGGATCCCACTCTGCAATCCAGCATATATACATAAAATATAAGTAGACAAAATTTCTAATCAGTTAATGAAAAATCTTTCCAAAGATGCAATTAATGAGTGATTTTTATAAACATTTGTATTAATACAGAATACAAGACAAATAAAAGGACTGTTTAGTTTGGGAAGATTATTCTGTTTTTTACTTTTAATTAGAAAAATGTAACCTCAATTTTTACTTTGTTCTTTAAAAAAATGTACAAGTGTGAAAACAACAATGTTAATAATTAAAAATAACTCCAAAATATTCTAAAATAGTTAAAATCTTATTCCAAAAAGATAAGATGCTACTTCCATGTTAGTTTAAAATAACAGAAAATTGCACTAACCTCCCTTGAGATCTTTTCAAATGACACACCTCTCCTCTAGTTTTCAAGTGGACAATAACCCCCTTACTTATTTATCTAAGTGACACATACAACCATTTACATAAGATAACACCATTTGTGCCTTATTAAGAGAGAACAAATTATTAACACAAGTATTAACAATTGAATGAAACTTGATTTATTACTCAATTTTAACTCCCAAATTATATCATAAATATCATGTGTTGTTATTTAAAAAATATAACAATTTCAAGGAACAATTTTAAAGAATGAGCTAAGAAATTATTAATTCAAAACTGAAGAACAATTAAAATTTTCATAAAAAAGACAAAGCATTGTATGTAATTCAGAAATAAAAGATAGAAGCGTATATGATCGACAGAATATAAATTGACTTTTATTTCTTCTCTTTCTCTCACTTTAACTAATAATGTTATTCTAAGAGATGTTAAGTGATTTTAAAAATTAGAGGGAAGGTGTGTCATTTAAACAAATATCAGGAGAGGTGAGTGCAATTTTCCTTAAAATAAAACTCATGAAACTTAAAATTGCAACTTAAGTTTTGTTATGAGTGATTATCGTACAACAAAAATTTGGAGATGCTAACAAACTTTAGATTAGCATTAAGCATATAGGAGATTCAAAGTTAAGACTGATTATCAAGAAATAAAAAAGACATGGACAATAGGCCGCTAACAACTACCATATTCATATAGTTACTATATAATGCATCTAAAATTTCAAAATACCTTAACCATGATAGTTCTCATTCAAAGTATAAACACAAAACAGCACAAAGTTTCAAACGCAAAGTCGTTCCAGATCAAGTTGTCACTCCAAGACAAAAACTATCATCTATAAAATCAATCCAGCCTAACTACTACCAAATGTGGTAGGTTACAAACCATAAGTTTGAGCCTTCTAAATTTAGGAATTTCTTACAAAGTGCTAGAACCTAACTGAAATATATTCAGGACCATCAAGATCAATATTGAATGACCTGCAATATATACTAAATACTATTAAAATTTAAGTTAAATTGTACTTTTGGTCCCTCTATAATATCAAATCCACAATTTTGATCCCTCTATTTTTAAATTTGCAATTTTAATCCCTCAATTTTATAAAATCCGCAATTTTGGTCTCCTAATTGAATGTTCATCCATTATCAAAACCAAGTAATGTCATTCAGGTTAATGAATGCTCCAGCAACTTTCCCAGCTACAATAAAAATTGGATTTTTAAGCCATTTTTAAGGTCTGTGTTGGTATTTTTTTGATGATATACTTGTTTATAGTAGGGATTGGCAAACACATCTTTTGCATCTTTTTTAAGTACTACATATTTTAAAGGAGAATTTCTTTGTGGAAAATAAGTGTATTTTTGGAGGACAGCAGGTGAAGTATTTGGGGCATGTTATTTTGGGTGCTGGAGTTCATGTTGATCCTGCCAAGATCAAGGGCGTAATAGACTGGCCAATCCCTTACAATTCTAAAGGAGTGAGAGAATTCTTGGGCTTGACAGGATATTACAGGAAGTGTATAGAAAGGCTATGGGAAACTAGCAAAACCTCTTACTGAATTTACAAAAAAAAAAAAGAAGAGGGTTTCATTGGGGTCTGCAAGCTCTGAAAGCATTTGAGAGACTAAAGAGGGATCTTCCCACTACACCTGTGTTGGCACTTCCTAATTTCACTCAATCTCTTCAAATTGAGTGTGATGCATCAAGAAAAGGAGTAGGAGCAGTATTTATGCAAGAGGGAAGGCCACTTGCAAATTTCAGCAAGGCTTTTGCAAATCATAACTTGTTCAAGACAATGTATGAGAAAGAATTGATGGCTTTTGTGCTAGCAATAAAACACTGGAGACATTACCTTTTGGGTAGATGTCTTGTTGTTTTTATTGACCAAAAATGTTTGAAACATTTGATGCAACAACGGGTGGCTATTTGTAATCTACAATTTTGGATATCTAAGCTGTTGAGTTATCAATTTGAAGTTGTTTATAAACTGGTGTTTGAGAACAAGGCTGCAGATTCTTTATCTTGTATTCGTGAGGAAGGGGATCTTAAAGGTGTTGGTTTCTTCACCAATGTGGGACCAAAAGAGGGAGATTGTAGATGAGGTAAGAGGGATCATGATTTGAAACAATTAATTGATGACTTACAAAGAGATTCTAGTTCAAGACCCAGGTTTAGCCTTCAAAAGGGATTTTTGCTTTATAAGGACAGGTTAGTGATACCTTCTTCATCATATTCCATTCCACTTCTTTTGGAAGAGTTTCATTCCTCTTCAACTCATGGACATTCTGGATTTTTAAGGACATATAGGAGAATAGCAGGGAATCTATATTGGATAGGTATGAAGAAAAGAATTCAGGATTCTGTGGAAGCTTGTCATGTATGCCAACGACAAAAATATTCAGCCACCTCTCCTTATGGAGTATTACAGCCCCTACCCACTCCCAAGCAGTAGTGGGAAGCTATTTCACTTGATTTCATTATTGGATTACCTAAATCTAGAGGATATGATGCAGTCCTTGTAGTTGTTGACCGTTTGTCAAAATATGCTCACTTCATATTCCTCAAACATCCATACAGTGCTAGACATGTGGTTGACATTTTTGCAAGAGAAGCAATGAAGTTATATGGAATGCCATAATGAATTCCCTGTGATAGAGATCCTCTATTTGTCAGCATCTTTTGGCAGAAGTTATTTAAATTGCAAGGAATGGTGTTAAAAATGCCTTATCATCCGAAGACAGATGGTCAAACTAAAGTAATAAATAGATGCTTAGAGACATATCTGAGAGGTTTTAGTTATGAACCAAGGTTATCAGTAAGGTTATACGGCAGATGGCGGCAAGGACCATTAAATGCCATATTGCCATGGCATCACCTTTAAATGCCATATTGCCATGGCGGATGCCATGGCAGACATCATGGCGGAGAAATATATATATATATATATAATATGATGAAAAAATAGAAAATTAACAAACACATATTAAAACCAACAATATAACAATCTAAAATTCATGGCATTCATAATCTCGTGATAGTCATCATAAAGAAACATAAATTCCTAACCAACAAAAGGATTAAATAACCATCAAAACAAAGCAACAATGTTAAAACCAGGAGGAAGTCGCGTTGGAGGTAATGGTGGCGCGCCCGTAGGTGACAGTAGCATGCGCGGAGGTTAGGGTGGCATGACAGTGGTGCATGTGGAGGGGGAGAAGAAAGTTATGCCGTACGTGATGGTGGCAGCTGCGTCAGAGGCGACGGTGGCAGTTGCGTTGGAGGCGACAGTGGCAAGCGAAGGTGACGATGGCAGTGGGGTTTTGTCGGAGCAGCCGTGGGTTGCACGGAAGAGAGGCTAATATGTATTAAGGTTTTTGCAACCCTATTTTATGTGTTGGGTGCCCAACCCGCGAAAGAAACCCGGACCCAAACCAGAAAAGAAAAAAAATGGCCCAAACCAGAAAAAAAAAAAAAAAAAAAAAAAAAAAAAAAAAAA